CTGGCCTCCATGGACGTAATTAAGTCTCCTAAGGCCTCCTAAGACAACCATTATATAGTTTATTTAGCTTGGGCCTTAGTAATTAGTCTATAAAACCCATATTATTATAGAGTTAATTTACAACATTGTTCAAGGTTTCCTGTTAAACTGTTTGTTGTGTCATCTGTAACTTGGTATCTTGCTTGACCACCTTTTTTCTACTAAACTGGACCATAATTTACCAAAACAGAGTTTGAATTTCAATTGGAGAAGACGTTGATGCAATTCGGTGCCATTAGCTACATTCTAAGCCTTAGGTATGATCATCTAAGACCATGGAACCTTTAAAGTAAAAGTGATTTTCCAAATAAAAGGCATGAGAGACATTCTGGTAGACATGTAAAATGGAAATCCTTTGTTTTATTTGCATATTTTTAGAGAATACGTTTTCAACAGACAAAAAGAAGAGAAAGTCTTTTGGGTTTTCAATTGGAAACAATTTTGTAGAGGCTGTCTTTAACACTAGTTAGGAATAGAAAAACTGATGTTTTCAAAGTGAAAAAATATCGCTCACGGGGTTTTTAAAATATTATAACACATTATTAAAGTGAAAGACGAGGGGAATTTGGTGTCCATCCAGATACACTTAAGTTTCCACAGAAACACGTTTTCACGTGTGCGGACTTCTGGGAAGTGCGCTGACCACTCCCCAGTTTGCCTGGTGACAGTTATTAACCCCAGAACGCATTAAAAGGGCGGAGTTAACGCCGTGTCCTCTTAAACAGTTCGGCTCTGTGCGCCCTGACTTGCAAAACAAGCGCTCCCTCAGCAATCTGTCGATGACCCGCCCCCGCGAACCAGAAACAGCAGATACTCTGACGGATAGCACAGAAGAAAGCAAGGCTGGAGCTGCTGCCGCCAGGGGAAGTCAGGAGGCTGCCGGAGTCAACGCAGAATAACGCAATTTTACCACTAGCTACGGAAACACCACACTGAAGCTACAGGTATGTTGCGAGGACCCAGTCACACTTTGTGTTTATTTCCCCACAAAACCACAGCTTAGCCCATTATCTAGGCCTAGGAACGGCCGTTAGGACTTTAACAGAAGAAGTGAGCAACGGAGCGGGTCAGAGATTTTAGCAGAGATGGAGGCTGGGTCACCAGCAAGACGAGGCCCGTGGGTCAGATGTCCACGCCTCCAGAGTAGCCGAGGGCTCTTGGGTGGAGGTGAACATGTTTTTTGTCGTGTCACTTTCCTGGTTGAGGTCTTCCTCTGTAGTTAATAATTGGATAGGACCGGCTTACGTTATTTGGCTAGCGCTGGTGTTAGCTAGCTCATTCAAAGTGGCCAGTAATGTAACCGCCAATAGACACGCACTTAAAAGGCGACCCGTGTCTTTTTATGTCCTGTCCACGACAGCTTCAGGATTAAACTGCTAAACATTCTTTTTTTCCCCAGTCATGTTGGAGAGTTTGTCGTTGACTCATATTTAGTAGACTATGCAGAGACTGTAATGTCTTCTGCTTCCTAAAATTACAGAAATCAGTGGATTTGTACACATACGTACGTCATGTTGGAGAGTTTCTTGTTGACGCGAGGAGCTTTTCCTTTTCTTTCATGTTTCACTTGGTTGAGTAACGTGTCAGTTAACGAAGCTAGCACAGGTACCTTAGCCTGTAAGATTAAATAAGCTCTTCTGTCCGTGTGATCAAAGGCTCTACTCACCAACAAACATGCTTTCCCGAGGGTATGAAAAGCTGTCAGGGCCTGTCTCTCAGTTTAGTAGACTTTATTAGGCCTTAACAAGACCAACATGCTGCTGCTGCTGCTGCTGCTGCTGCTGGGACATTTAGTTCTCAACCAGGACAGGGCGAATATCACATCTGATCCAGGTTTAAAAACTTTGCCATTTGACTTGATATTATCTTCTTACTGTTTTAGTTTTGCCATTTTTCCTGAAGGTTAACAGGAGATAATATTGCCAAAGTTTAGTGTTAGCTCTCTTTCTTTCTTTTTTAGCCTCTCCAGGGCGAACAGAACTTTACTACTTACAACCATTAATTAGTACTTCCGGTACAAACTTACTGTGTACTTTGCCACTTGGTCATTGCTCATTTTACTACTTTCAAAAGTAATGCAGGGGAAGTGAAAATATTATTTTAGTGCCTCTCACCTCTGGGACAAAATGGTAAAGATAATAGTTTTGACTGATAAAGCAAGAAAACATGATAATGTCAGGATATGATAACATGCAACAGGGGACCGTGTTACCTTTAAGTTTCTAGCCTAAGTAATGATACATAGTAAAGAAAGCAGAGCAGGGGGCGCTGTCCTCAGGAAAATAAAATTTCATGACTGTAATGATTCGTCAGCTGGTCGGTGTCTCAAAGTCTTAAATGTCCTTATATTTTTTTGATGACATTTCCCACAATCCCCTGGATTTTATTTGAAACCAAAAGACTTTTGTTCAGTTAGTGTTAGTTGCTACCCCAAATGTCAGTATCAACAAAAATATGTTCACAGTGCAATTAAAGTAATTCTGAGACTATTCTGTGTTGTCTTTTTTCTTTTAAAGATGATTTCGTCATAATTGTTATTTTAATTGTTAATTAGATAAATGCACGTGTGTCATTTAATTCAAGGGTGTGCTTTTGTCATGTCATAAAAGGGTGTGCTTTTGTGCTACTTTATGGGCCTGATAGTTATCCGGCGTACCCTCTGGGTCTCTGCCAAAGGGGGGAATGGGAGGAGTGTCCAACCAAGTGACTAGATTCCGGGGAGCCAACAGCCCGAAAGGGCTTTGTCTTCCTGGCTCATTTTGATACTGGGACAAGGCTCAGGCATCAAAAGGAAACTTGCACACCTTCCTCCCAGAGAACAGGGAGAGAAGGAATGTGAACCGGCTCCAAGTTATGACACCATCTACTCCACCTGTACCTAAAAGGAACATAAGTCGCATTACAAGTTAATTTTCAAAGCTTCTCACTGTAGGATCTGACATGGAACACATGGTAAATGTATAACATTGGGTATTTCCTGTTTTGGTTTGCACTAAAAGTCACTAGTATAATCATGCTGTGTATTAGAACATTCTGTACTGGTCCTGTCATTTACTTTGGGTTCTGTTTAACTATGTGCAACTGTGTACAATTGAGGTCACAGTGTATTAGGCGCAGTACGGTGGATGGTAAATATTTAAAAGTCGGTTTTTACTGAGTTTGTGAAAGCACCAGCTCAGAAGGTCATTATTATCTGAAGCCTCGATCTAGAGCCTGTTGAATAGAATAATGCATCCAAACACCTGGGGCAAAAAACACACACAGACACACATCCTTTATGTTGCATAATATCATAATGGCTAGTTACACTGTCACAGGTCATAGTGATGGAGTTTTCTTTTTAGGCTCATAGGAAAAACTAATTTCTATTAGCTGAGTACCTTTGTTGTGTGTTCTAGAAGATGGACTGATAATAGTTGAGGTAGGAGGGAAACAGAGTCAACATTACACTGTAGACACTCAGTCTGTCTGTTCACACGAATGCCTGCAGAGCAAAGTTATTCTTGAATGTATTATCGTGGGTAATCTGCTTGAGCCGAAGCTCTGAGGTGCTGTGCTCCACAACACTGACTCCTGTGCTGCTGTGTGGCTAATGTGTTACTCGAGTGTGTGATTGTGTTGTGCAACACATCGTGTCATTTTTCTTTATACTCCTGCCAGATTGTGTTGCTGACAACAGCGTTGTGGTCGTGACCTGGTGTCCAGTAAATATGCTTTTATTTTTGGTCATGTTTAGTAGACCGTATGCAGAGGACCTGCAGTGTATAGTCTTCTGCTTCCTAAAATTACAGAAATCAGTGGATTTGTACACATACATACATATATAGAGACACTGTATGTGTAGGTATATTAGTATGTATATGTGTGTAAGTGTGTGTGTGTATATATGTATATGTAAGAAAGAAGGGTTCTGCAGCGGATGTTTGAGAACCACTGCCATTGGACAAACTGAGTCAAGTTGGTGTTTTTTTTTTTGTTTTTTTTTTACAGCTGTTGTATGTGGAGAAAGAAGGTTCTGCAGTGGATGTTTGAAAAGAGTTCACCATGAAAAGGTGGAAGAAGCTTTTCTTCATCTCTACCTTCATCTGCCTCGCTGTAGGAGTGTGGTGCACGTCGTTTATGGCTGCAAAGGTTTTAAAAAAAGCTGATTTGTTGTGGTAGACAAAAAAGTGCAGCAGCTTCTTTTTTTCTTTTTTCTTTTTTTTTTTGCATTAGTTGCAAAACCAGTGGAAACACAACACTCACTAGCTGATGTCAGTGAGCTTCTCTTCTTCCAGAGAACTTTGTTGTACCCCTGTGTTATAATGACAGTAAAGGCTATTCTATTCTATTCTTGTGTGTCGGTGTTGTCCAATACTAGGCGTCAGTCATCATGCCTCTTTCTCGTTGCAAAAAGGCAGAATGCTGTGTAAACCTCTCTAGAGTGGTGTGACAAAGACAGGTAGTGTGGTGGATAAACAAACTCTACGCTTCATTGACTGTTATTTATTCTTACTTTCTCCTGTAAACATACAGATCTGTATATGATCATTTTCAACAAATACTGACTTGTTTTTTCCCCCCATTTTCTTCAGAATGGCAGTGGATATCTATGACTCTCAGTACCTGCTCATCCTGGTCCCTTCTCTCGTCATCGCCCTTATGTTCTTCTTCTTCTGGCTCTTCATGAAAGAGACCTCTTACGACGAGGTGCTGGCGAAGCAGAAACGTGACCTCAAGGTGCCGCCGTCAAAGCCAGACAATCGCAAAAAGAATGAAAAGAAGAAGAGCAAGAAGAAGGAGAATACTGGCGGGGGAGGCAGTGGAGGCAGTGGAGGTGGTGGAGGAGAGTCAGAGGAGGATCTTAGGGACTTTGAAATTGTTGATGGTGCACAGAGTTCCTCCCTCGAGGTAGAGGAGGAACCTGCACCTGTGGTTCCACCAGAGCCTGCTCCTCCAACACCTACTCCTTATGTGCCTGTTCCACTGACTGCTGAAGCTCCAATGGGTTTGAGGGAAAGAAAAAAGAAGGAAAAAAAGGCCGCAAAGGCTGCGGCCGCCGCGGCTGCTGCCGCAGCATCATCTGCCGCAGCTACACCTCCTCCCTCAGAGGAGCCAGAAGTAAATGGCTCCAATCTGGTTAGCCACAAAGCTGAGCCAACTCTGGCTGAGAACAAACCATCCAACCCACCATCTCCCAAAGTTGAGATTGAGGTCCAGGTCCAGTCTGTCCAGGCTCCTGTACAGACTCAGACACCTCCCCAGGCCTCTGGAAAGAAAAAGGACAAGAAGAAGCAAAAGGCCGAGCCTGGTGAGTCGTCAAAGTGCAGCTTCATGTGTTCGCATGAATTTGGTGTTTTTTGTCTTTGTTTTATTTTTTATCGAGAATGTTGAAATCCTGATAGCAGTTGATAAACAATTGGAATTGTTTATCAATAACCAAACAACCAGTCCTCTGCACTGTATTTACACTTTTTATACCATTTACATATATATTTATATCTAAAGCTTAATGTTTATTTTATTCAATTAATAAACAAATACCAAATTCATATATCTAAATTTGTATGTATATGTGTGTGTGTGTGCATGCATATATGTATGTATATATATATATATATATGTATATATGTGTATATATATATATATATGTATATATATATATATATATATATACACACACACACACACATACTGTGTATATATATATCTCAGCCAAAGTGGGGTCTTATTTTTTTAAAGTCAAACTCTGAGACTATGTCACCCCTTTTTTTGTTTTTTTCTTAGTGGATAACCAGCAGCAAGAGACTAAAGCAGAGCAGACTCCAGCACCAGTGAAGAAAGAGGTGCCCATCATCGTAGCTGAAACCAAAGTTCTGGATGGTGCAGCTCCACCTGCTTCTACTGGCAAGAAGAAGAACTCAGCCAAGAAGAAGAACTCAGAATCTGGTAAAGAGCCAAGTGTCCCACATTCCCAATTAGACTCTTTTAATAGTGCAAATATATGTGCGTCATCATAACCCAGTGTGAATCCTGAGCACACACACAGATCTCTGCAGCTGGGTGTGTCAGTTGTGTTCCAAAGTTATTTCTTGTTTTTTTTTTTTTTTTCATTTCCTTTTACTTAAAATTAGGCCTGAACTTATCAATCACTTTGTAATTAACCAGTTTTTTTTAAATTTTTTTTATCAAATGCAGTGGAGGAAGCCCCCGTTGTGGCCGACTCTGCCCCGTCTGTCAACCACCAGGCAACTCAGAATAATGACGTCCCAACCAAAGGATCAGGGAAAAAACAGAAAAATGTAACTGACAAGGGTAAGACAGAGAAAAGCAAGTCAAATATACTTCATGGTTCTTCTTACTGTCGTGTAATCGGTTTTACAAAAATAAAACTCTCTTTTTTCTTTTTGTTTGTTTGTTTTGACAGAGAACACAGAGGTGAAGCTGAAGGAACTGCTGTCTGGTCTGTCCAACCTGGCTCTGTCTGAAGCTGAGGCTGTCAGTGTGTTCGCCCTGCTGAGAGAGAAGAGTCCTAAAGCCCCGGATGCCTGGCAAAAAGTAAGAGGCAAAGAGTTGATTATTATAATTAAAGTAAGGTTGTCAAAATCAGCAGCTTAACATGTGAGAATTATCAGAATAACAATGTTACTGTGTGGAGAGACTGAAGGACACAGTATTCCCAGTGATTTCCAACTCAATGTATTTATTATTTTTCTCTCAGCACGCAGCATGCAGTGTGGGTGGGGGTTTAGTTTCACGAAAGCATCTCCAGCTTAAAATACCATTGCAAACTCCAGGACTTTTTAGGCTAACAAGCTGACTGACATAATTGTTAAATGTAAAATGTCGATCGATTATTACTGGTGAAGACAATCACTGAAGACTAAACTATCAGTCATAATTAATTATGATTAATTACAATAACAACTAATTGTGAATAAAAACCACAGGTACCCCATGTCGAATCACATTCTTATTCATTTATTATCCATGAATAAAAGCATTTGTAAAAACAGAGGCTTTTTTTTCTCCACTGGACATGAAACTGAAACAATGAAAAATTGATTTTTGTTTCTCAACACCAGTCTGCGGCCAAGCCCGACCCAGCTGCCCAAGAAAGAGAACGGCTCTTTACAACTCTTCAGGAGGAAGCCTCCATTGCCAAGGACAAAGTTAAACAGCTGAGCCAGGTCTACATTCCTTCGATTTAGCTCATGAAACACACCGTACTTTCATGATCTCACAGAGCCTTTCATTTGATACAACAATGTTGTTGTGTTTCCCATTGTTTTTTTGCTGCAGGAGCTTCAAGCAGAGAAGCAAAAGACAGGACGTGTGGAGGCCTTGATGAGGGAGCAGCGTGTAGCCATGGAGAAAGACCTGGGGAGCATGCAGGCCAAAGCACAAGGCAGCTACCAGGAGCTCCAGACCATGCAGATGAAGGTGAGGTCATGTTTTTTTTTTTGTTTGTTTGTTTGTTTTTTTGCATGGGGTAAAAAATAATGACCATCTCGTGGTTTTTTCACAATACTGAAGCCGATTGTGTTTGCAGTTTCAGCAGGCCAGGGAGCAGTTGGAAAGTCAGCTCGGCAGACTGCAGCAGGAGAACGGCATCCTGAGGGACGCTGTCAGCTCTGCCACCAACCAGATGGAGAGCAAGTCAGTGTTCAAAACACACATATCTCCTAGACTTTTATCAACAAACCTACGACATAGAGGGGAAAAAATTAAACAAAAATGTATTGTTTGGAAATTTGCTTTAATTTTAGTAAAAGAAAAGGAACAAACGCCCCTTTGGATTAAACACAGTCCTACTGGGCTGTTCATGTAGCCTGCAGGCCACAAGGGGCACAACCTCACAATGGTCCTGTCTGTGGTTATTTTTGAAAGGTGAAGAGGGACTGTGAGAATCACAATTGGCAAGTAAAGAAAGTAAAGAGCAAGAATGGAACACACTCTGTAGCCTAGCAACATGCATCCCACAATGCACCACTTGTGCGTCTACAAGAGAGGTGTCTAGAAGCGTTGGCAGTTCACTTTACAATGACCTGTCCTGCAAAAAAAAAAAAAAAAAAGGATACCAGATTTTACACTAGACATGGGTAAACTATGGCCCACGGGCCAGATTCGGCCCACTGGTCTTTCTAATCCGGGCCTCCAAACACTGGTACAAGGTATGATAAGGATTGACATCAAATGTGCCAGATTTTCTTTGAGCTTCAATCTTGTACATTTTAGTTATATTATTTTGTCCAAATGTTCTACATCCAACCAAACATTGTTCGTATTCAATTAAACATGTCTGAAGACTTGAATAATAACAACATGACAAGTGACCAGGGACCGTTGAGCAGCTCAAGTCTTTTATACAGAACTAAGATGCAAAACTCTTGACAAGTATCATTTTCAGTTTCCTAATGATTAAGAAAAGAAAATGACTCAGTGGTGAATCATATCTGTTATGTAGCAGGTATCAATTCCTTAATTAGTTCATGTTTAACGAGATTTGCTGAGTGTTTGGTGAGTGTTTGGTCATTTGGTGAGTGAAAATGCTGAAAGTCCTTTAAGATTTATATAAAAGTAAAAATACATTTCTAAGATAAAGTTGTTGTTTTCTTATTAAAAACTTTACTGGAAATGATTATTTTTGGGAATTCCAGCTCATATTTCTTAGCCAAGCATTTTATTGTAATAACATCATCATTCTACTTCATTCAATGTCTCTCCATGAAGCCTCAACATCTGTTGGCGTACTAACGTTCTCTACGTGGTGTGATGCATGATAGGAATTCAGCCGAGCTGAACAAGCTTCGTTCCGAGTACGGCGGTCTTATGAAGGAGCTGACGGACAACAAGAGCAAACTGCAGCAGGAGGAGCACCAGAGGAAGTCACTGGAGATCAGCTACAAGCAGAACGTGTCCCAGCTGGAGGTACGAGAACTCCAGATGTACTGCGTGTTGATTTAGTCTCTCACTTCGGTTTGTGCAGCTGAGAAAAATGTAAAGACGCTGCGAAACCTGGGCATGTTTCACAGTGTTGATTCTGACGGGAGGGTGTGGTCGTTTTAGTAGGAAAAAGGGGTGGAGGGTGTGTTGGAAATCCTGGGAAGGCTTGTGTGAAACGAAGCCTCAGAGGATTGAGTTGGCTTTGGG